TTGGGCATTCTGGGTTTCGGCAAACTGAGTTTCTGCAAACTGGGATTTCGACAAACTGAGTGGATGCCTTCTTGAATATTGCTATCGGCAAGAATGCATCCTTGTCACTGAAAGAGATTTTGTATTAGTTCCAGATCATCGTAGCAGCCAAGAAAAGCAGAGGCGAAAGTCGTCCTGCATGCAATGCATGCTTTAAGGAATTACAACCAATACATAAATATCAACCGTTCCATTCTGGAGACATCAATATTGCAGTCATTGCTACTTTATATCTTATTTTATGACAGCGGAGAGAGAGAGTCATTGTAGACATAAACACTGGCAAATACCGAAAGTTGTTCAAATTAAGTGACATTAACTTTCACCAGCGAAGAAAGCATCCCTTATTGGATCTCGTGCTTCTGTAGTCAAAGGCAAAGTTTTGTTGACACTTTCTGCAACTTTAAAGTTTTAGATGTTCTGTCACAAAAGATGTCTAAGGAACTTGAAGACTGTGGTATGAAGTTAAGGGGAAAAGTGTAAATCAAACAAATATTTGAAATGTTCAATAGAGGCAACAAGATCACAGACATATCATTGCTACCACCATTTTTGCAAGTAGACCCTTGAGCACTTGAGCAAATTTAATCGCTAAAATGGAAATTAAGCAGAAGTAAATGATTTGGTCAATAAAAATAGTATTCACAACAGATGGAATGATCAAATGAAGCAAAAAATTATTGAGACAGTGATGCCCATGGACGTCCAAGAACAGTTTATGATAAAGACGAAGACTTTCAGATTGCAGTGTGATTAGCAATACATGAAGATTATCGCTCAACATAGGGCTACACATTAAAGGACAATTATGTAATAAATGAATTAATGCCTTTATACATGTAAATTATGGTAGTTATCTGTGTGGTCCCCTGGAATACATTGTGTAGTACACAAAAATAATGAAAAACAACCGGATATTTGTAAGAAAGCTGGATTTTTTAAAGGATTCTGGTGATATTTTCCATTACTCTAAACAGAAAAGGACTAATATAAGGGGGCATTTTTACTTACATTTCCAAAAGTGAGTTAGCTTACCAGCCTAAAATATGTTATTTTGGGTTTAAAAAGTCAACAGCAGCAGCAGTTATTACATTCATGTTTTGTAAATTTATTTAGGGTATTGAAGCTGCTGTTAAGCTGTTCTTTAATTTTGGCCGCCATTTTAAAAAGCGCCCTCAATTGCCTCTCGACATCTTCATATTAATAACTTTAGCTAATTATACTTTACTCCTATCATTACATATTCAAAAGTTGGTCAAACCTACCTCTTTTGTGTTTATTTTACCTATATATCTGTAGTTTATTGGATTTTAGCGGCCATTTAAAAAAAGCGCCCTCACGCGAAAGTTCTCATGTTACGCCCCTTTTACCTCACATATTCTGATTCCCCATAAAAAACTGGTCTAGAAAAACCATATGAGAATTTCTACCTCTCCAAGTGGCACCTATCTCAATTATAGCCTGGTCTAGATGTAAACCTGAAGACAGTGTTAACACTTGGCACACTACACCATAGGTTTTTTTTTGTTTAATCTTGTCTTGGGGTGGACGAGACTGCACTTGATTTTATTTTACGGTAAAAAATAAGTGCCAAATTTTTAAGTTAAGAGAGTGCGTCTGATTCTTTCTGAATGTTTTTGATGAGGGATTCATACACTACATCTCATCTTGATTTTGTCGTTCTGCGGCTTGTGAATGTTCCGTTGTCTTTCTAGTATTATTCTTTACCCTCTAGAAGGACCGCTCTGATGGCAGTTTTTCAGCACTCTTTTGATGTTATTCATTTCGGTCTCCATCATCTCCGTTTCTACAACGAATTTCTCGGCTTTGTCCAAGAGCATGTGTATAAGCCCAGTTTGTGAACTAATGGATGGTGTGATTTAATGTGTAATTGTTGATCTGTTTGCATGGGCTTCCGGTAAACCGATGAGGTAAATGTGCCAGCATATTTAAGCTTGATTTGCATATCCATAAATGAAATTGTGTTATTAGCCATATGAATTTTACAGTTTTGATGTTGCTATGGTTATGGCTTGTTGTCAATGTCATTCAAGATACAGATTAACTCGTATGGGACTGATGGGCTTACCATACCAATGCTCTGTTTTTGCCTGTAGATTTTGCCGTTGAACAAGAAATATGTCTTGTTATTATTATTATTATTATTATTATTATTGTATACTTATATAGCGCATATCAAACTTCTCTATGCGCTGGAGAGAGACAACCGTAGATAAAGTGCCTTGCCCAAGGACACAAGCGACTTGCACAGCGAGAGTTTTGAACCCCCGACCTCGAGGTCGGGAGTCCAAACCACAACCGATGCGCCAACCACTTGACGATTAGCTCAAGTAAGCTCCATTATGCCTGTAGTTTGGTTCTTTCATAAAGTGTCGGATCTTTTATTAAACGGTTTCTTTAACTCGTGTTTTTGTAAAAAGCGATACTACATCTAATGAGACAAATGTTTCGCCTGGCTAAACCGCTATCTTTTGCATAGATGGATATGATGCTTAACTCCAATATTAATTTCATATTTATAAACATTGTTTGGAGTATATGGTCAATTCACAGGATAGATTACATCCATAGGATACACCTAAGCCAAAAAATCTCAAAAAAAAAAAAAAAAATCATATAATGCGTTTATGAACATCAATGTTCATGTTGATGTTTATCACCATCAATGTCGGCCTTTCAAAATGTATTGTTTTTAGTGTGTTTTCAGAGATGGACAAACAGTTAAGGCTAATTTAATTGATGTCGATCTTGTTGAATAATATTCTTGGTCCTTATGCAAAGTTTGATGGTAAGAAAAATATTACTGAAAAAGTATTGAAGAATATTTAGACGTAATATGATTCTTTTAATATGTGAGTTTTAGGCTACTACAGAAAAACACAGATGCAGATAGGTAGACGTAGATACACTGGCTGTATTGATTAACAAAATTGAATGCTCACCGTTGTTACCTTGTTTTGACAAGACAGAATGACTGGATGTCGACATAAAATACTAGATCACGTTCTTAATTTGTAATTTGATAAAATATAAAATGTTGCAAGGAAATATAGATTTTTAAATGTGCAAGTAACATTGTATAAACGATAACGATTCATATATGGCCTGAATTTTCTGTTAAAGAGAACGGATATAAATTTGTTCGCCTATTTTAAAGGTCTTTAGATTATTAGTAATAATGCGTCCATCATTATACAGGAGTGGATGCAGAGGTGAATCCGGATTTGAAATCAGATTATGGAGTATGTCACTGTTTTAAAATAATTATTAGCAATTTTAACAGTCCCGAGAGGGGGTGGAGTGGAGTCACAGTATATTGGTCAATGTATGAAGCTCGAATTATATGTTTGGATTCTGTCGTCGTTAAAAACATGTTTTTTCTTTTGACAGAGTGAGAGAAATTTTTTTAGCGATTATTTGTGTTGTATGATAATAATTTCTTAGAATTGTATTTTATTAGTAGGAAAAGGCATATAAATCTAAAAATAACATACAAATAACGAAGTTGTGTTAGGTCTTCGAAATCTCCATCGATTGATTGAATGTTGTTGTAGCCTGCATCTCTGCAAAGGAAATTACTAAATGTCAAAGATTGTTAAAAATATCAATCATCATTTAAAAGAAATAACATTATAATATCCCTAATCACTAATAAACTGAGCATTTTTTAAGAGGAAGTAATTTGGGTTTAAAATCTGTTATTCATATGAGTGTGAAATTAATATATTATAGCCTCTATTGGTTAGTGAATAAGCCCATGTATACCCAGGAGCCTCGAAAGGTCAGTAATAAATTGTGAATGTGCTTCCGAGACATTTTAATGCCAGGTATTCATAATTAAACCTAATAAAAATGAATATTGTTTAGGCATACATGTATTGCTTTATAAAATATAACATAATGTATAAAAATCAAATTTGAAATTATCTTTTTATTTTGAAGTAACATAAAAATGATAACTTGAACATCCAATTAGTGTATTATAAAATAATTTTACAGTGTAAGGTGACGGAAACACTTCCAGTCACTGGAATTTGTTTTGTTGACTATTATTATTATCCAGTAAAAAAATCAGGTTACACTTTCTAAAAATTCACTAATTTCTATGCTTAAACAAGGAAAGAGCTTTTTGCGTAATTTGAATAAAATTGATAGAGCATTCGCCCTTATGCGAGCGTAGGACTACTCGACGAAGTGGAGGAACTAGGGAAAAACAAACCCGAGTATAAATCACTTATGGAAAACCTCTCTAATTATTGGAAAGATGTGTATAAGAGACAGGGATAATGCGATTTCTGAAGCACCAAGCTGGGGGTAGGGGTGGTTTTGTCAAGGACGCAGATTTGTCTCGAAAGGTGAGAGGCATTTCGTGAGCCCACACCCACCTCAGGACCACCATGGTTGGGCCTGAGTAGGAAATGTTACCTCTTGATGACCGGATATGACACTTTTATATAGTAAAATTCATCATTATTATTATTATTTTTTATTTTTTTCTTATACTTCTTAAATTATGTAATGTAATGTAATGTAGTGGGATTTGGTATAGCGCATTATACCGAAGTCTCAATGCGCTGGTGATGTGTGGACTAGGAACTCA